CTTCCCGCTGTGAGGAGCGCCGGCTTTGACCCCAACCCAGTCTGGTTTTCTTTGCAGAACATGGATCATGGGAGAGCTTGGGGGTATCTGACCTTCAGAGGTAAAAACCAGCTTGCTTGCTTTCACGGGGGAAAAAAAAAAAGCTTAGGAAAAAACATTGCTAAGGGTGGCGAGAGAATAAAGTGGGGGGTATGGAGAGCTGCAGGAGAACCACGACCCTCCCCTCTGGGGAGTTCGGGGGGTTTGACTCTCTTAATGAGAAGAGAAGTTCTGGTTTCTGGCGGTGGGGTCTGGCGCTCCCAGCATACACTCCCAAGGACACCCTGAGCGCCAGTGTAGACTGGCTGGGGGAAGGACGCTGCACCCACCGACAGAGGATTAGATGACGTGGGGGAATCTGCCTCTTTTATAGCTGCTTAATATTAGGGGTATGAACGTTTTTATTAGACTTTCTGAAACACTTTTCATTCAAAGCTTTCAAAGTCTTTTTTTTGAAAGTTTGTATATCGGTACATGTGTATATACATATAAAGCATTAAACTTCCCAGAGAACTTTCATTACTGTAGGGAGAAATTATTCTTCTTCAACCATGGAAACTAAATCAGTGTGAGATTAACTGGCTTTTAATTTAAAAAGAGGAAGGCAACCATAGAATTGGAACAACTTGCTTGTAGTCCTTTCAGTTTGTTTCTGTTTTAATTTCCATGGGCAGAAGTGGGATCTTGCAGTATAGCAGTGAAAAAACTGTGTGATCCTTTCAAAACCTCCTTTGCTTTTGCCAGTTATAGCAACAGCTAGACTGGAGAGCCTACACTTGCTGCATTTCCTGGAGTGAGTTTGTTGATAGTGTTTTCTGCCGGTGTTCATCTCTTTCTCAGGCAAAACCGAAGAAGAAGTGAGAGAGATTGACAAAGTCATGTACCATGACTGGCGAATGGTGCCCAAGCACGAGGAGGAAGCCTTCAAGAAATTCACCCCAGTGCCAGAAGAGACCATTCGGTACCTTCCATACCCACCTCTGCTCCGAGCCATGATTCTTGCTCAGTGGCAGAAAGAGGGAAAACCAATCACAGAGGAGCCGATGATTGATCTAGAGAAGGTCATGGCCTCTCGCCTTAAGGTCGCGAAGAAAAAAGCTACAGGGACACCAGTATAAAGACTTATTGTGTGACTTGAGCTTCCCACACACTCTTGCTGTGTGTTAGAAGCACGTCACCTTCTTACAGAAGGTACGTCTGCCCACTGTGGTATGGTGCATCCAGGTTTTTTCACTTCATTTTCTCCCCAGGACCGTACAGTGACCTCATCCAAAAGGAAAGATGCAGAAACATGCAGATTTTTTTCATAACTTCAGTCCCTCACCAGAGGGACCTTCTTGGTTCTCTATATAGTCTCGGAACGCAGAGCTCAGTGTAGCTCATTCAGCTACAATTCTTTGGAGCACAGTTCCCTTTAGAGTCAAAAAAAAAAAAACCCACATACCTCTTTTTTTTTTTTTGTTTAGGACACTTGCCTGTTAATTTAGGTCCTAATTAAATCGCAGAAAGCGAATATAAGGATATCACCTTATTTCACAGAGCTGTGTGCAAACCTAGCAGAATGAGTTCTTACATCTGTAGCATACTTCTAAGAAATTAGCTTGATCATCATGATGGTTGGTTGAGGTTCGAGTGCAGAGCTGTTATCTTATCAGATCCCTCCTAACCAGTGCAGATTCGTCTGGGTTACATATGATGGCAGTGAACAAAATGGAAGGAACACAACTTGACTTTAGTTAGTAAGCTTCGTTCCCAGAGATGGCCGTCAGGAGAGGAGAGAAACTGATTCTAGTGATGTGAGGTAGGTAGGATTATTATTTGAAGCCGATAGCAAACTACTACTGTTTTAGTGGAATATGTTGTGGTGAAAGTTACAAGAATGTAACTCCTTAGTGCAGCCCCTAGAGTTGCCCTTGGGTTAGTCACTTTGATACTTGTTTTTATTACACCATGCCACTGGGGGAGATTTCTGCAAGGCGTCTCCCTGGACCTTAGCCAGAGTAAGCAAATTGCATAGCTGGAAAACAGAGACATTTGATTGTAAAAGAAAGGCTTGAGTTCTGTATACATGATAACAGAGACACAGGAAATGTAAAATCACCAATGAACAAAATAGGATTTTTCCTATCTGCCAAAAAAATGAAGGAACGAGGAAAGAATGCACTGCCTTAGCACTCACTGATGTGACCCTGTGCTTGAGACGGGCTTTTCACCTTAGCTACACTGAACTGAGAATATATTTTTGATACTGCTACACCCAGTTGCTTTAATGGAAGCAGTTCTGGATGGGGTTTTCCCTATGTTACTGTACCATGCAGTGGCTTTGCAGGGGAACCCCAAACATCCTGACGGAGAACATGATGTGCTTCTATTAAATCATAGAGGTACAAATAGCACAGGGTTACAGATGGGAGACCTGGAGGCAAAGGCACATTTGGGCTTCACAGCTAAGTCACTGAGGGGCTTAGCTGATACAGCTCTGCTAAGGGCATGCTTTCTGTGGAGTGAAAAAATGAATGTAAAGCAACAGTGCCAATAAAACCCCTTTCTCCTCTTGTGCTGTTTGTGTGTGTGAGGTTCCTGAAGTTAGAGCTGGGGTGAGGGGGACTGGCTGTGGCACCCTGTGCACTGATCCTGCTCTAGTCCAGCCTGGCCCCAGTTATTTCACTGTCAGAGGTGCTGTGGCATGCTGGAAGTGGGTGTCAGGCCAGGAAGGAGAGCCTGGGGCTGTATTCCTGCTAGCGAAGCTAAAAGGAGGCTCTCTGGGGCTGCTGCTGTGTCCTCTCGTGCACGTGTGGCCCAGTATAAACCAAGCCCTGTAAGAAGGAGCTCAGCTGCCTCTTGGTGCTGGTTTCTGCTGGCAGCTGGTGAATCCATGGGATGTTAACTGCCTCCCTTTCTGATCGCGCACATTGCTGCAGTGACTTGGGAGCCTACTGCTTGCAGGCCAGTGGGATGTTGACACCCATGTTGTCCGCTGCTTGTGGAAGTGTGCCTCCCTTTGCCGGGAGCATGCTTGTCGTGCACTGCCTCCATGCTCCTGGGACTTCCAGCCTGCCCAACGTGAGCACACAAGTTATGCCTGGAGCACTTGGCGATTGCTCCCCTCTTTGTATCAAGTTTCAACAAGGTAAAGCCATTTTGATCATGGAAGTGAGCATCTATAACTAGAGTTTAGCTGCCTGTAACATTCCGTTTTTCAGGTTGTCTTGAACATATAAGCTTAGTGCTCAAGCCTGAGAGGACCTTCTGAAGGAGCACTGTATTGTGTTCAGCACAGAGGCACCGACTTGCTGGAGGACACAGCTGAGCGCTGGGTCTGTGCGTGGCAAGAGCAGCCCAAGGGAGGTACGTCTCGCTGATGATCAGGCACCACGCTATCGCAGTGTCTCTCATGGTGGCTGTGGATTCTGCAGGAGTGTCAGGAGCTGTTTGAGGTTTCTGTTTTGTGTGTAGGTAAAGGGGTCACAGGAGCTATTCTGGGTTTGTAACCCTGTAGGTCAGCTCCCTGCAGTGGTAGCTATTTGGTTTTTTGGCTGCTGTAAGAAGTTGTCAGCCTTGCTGCTTCATTTGCTGCAGCATCCTAAAAAATCTCAAGCAGCCCAAGGTGATTTACTGGGGGAAAGCAAAAACTGGGCCCTGGGCCCTTCCCAGTGCGCAGGGCAGGCTTCACAGCACAGTGGAACATGTGGCCAAGCCACCAGGAAAGAGGCTGTCATCATCAGACACCAAGTGCTGGTAGATGCACAAACAGACTTGGGCCCTGAGCTCCCTGGTTGCAACTGCTGCATGTGGGAAGCAGCTTGTCTGGGTCTGTTTCGTTTTTTCCATAGGCCTCCACCGCTGGGCTCTGGGCTGAGCCAGAGCCATTGGTCTTGTACTCATGGTGATTGAGGAGCTACTAAGACAGCACCGTCTGGCAAACCACGAGAGTGGAAGGGGGGAAGCAAATGATTTGGTAGATTTGGTTTCAGAATGGACTCGTGCACCGGGTGAGGCTACCCGAGGAGCAAGGGCCGGCTGCTTCGGAAGGGCAGATGAGCCAGGAGCCAAGGGTGACTCCAGCGCCAGCAGCACCCTCCCCAACAGGGTGCTGTCCCATGGGGTGGGACCACAGCAGGCAGAGCCAGGTGCTGGTAACAGGGTCCACTGAGAGCCCTAGACAAGGTAAGCAATGAACCAGGCCCAGGGGCCACCCAGGAGCTAGAGCGAGGGCTACACCATAAATTCAAGGGGTTTGCTGAGGAGCAGCTGGAGACAAGCACACCTACAACACAGCTTAGGCAGGGGCCTGTACTTATATGGGGCTCCTGGGCCATGGGAAGGAGGGGTAGGTGGGGCTGGTTAGGACAATCACAGCCTGTTGATGCCATCTGGGCCCTGACACCTGTGGGCTCTTACCACCAAGCCCTGGGAGGTCCTGAGAGACCTTCGGTCGTGGAGGTTCCCTTTTGGGAGACGCTTCTGTAAAGCCACACAGCCCCAGTTTGTAATGTATTGGATCCACAGCCCAAAACACGTGTGAGCTCTTACTGGATACTCAAATTTGTGTGTTACCCTCCTGGATCTTTTAACAGCATGTAAGTTTTCTCTTGTTTTCCCTGGCCCAGCACAGCCATGCAGGGAGACAGTGGTTGCCCCACCTCAGCCGAGCTGTGACCCATCAGCTTGCTCCAGTGGCTTTTGCTTCTCATGCAGGCCCTGCGTTGGCACAGCCATGTCAATGCAAACTGCAGCTGCCACCCATTGCTTTAGGAGCAAGGAAAAACCCAAGTCCCAGGGTCTTGGCTTCCAAACCTCATCAGGTCAGCTTAGCTGCTCCGCCCCCCCCCCACCCACCCCCGCCCCGTGC